TGTAAGTTTAATGACAATAAAGTTGAATTGAATAACGTCTCATCCAGAGGTGGTCTTATCCTCTGGCCCACTGGTAATTTCACTGTACCGGCTACCGAGAAATTCCTGGCCAGACGGGAGAGCGCCACCTACTGACCCTGATTCACGATCTGTTAATTCCACCCTCCCAGCTTCAGTGGGGGGTCTCTGTTGGACATGCTTCTTGCGTTCCTGTTCAAGATTGCTTTGCATTGCCTGTGGACTTTCCTCGCTGTGTATCCCAACAAACCGTTAATTAAAAAAAATGTTTGTAGCAAGCTAAACTGCAACAGGTTTTCATACCTAACACACAAACAAGCAAACACAAATAGTGGAGAAGAGGAATTCACTGACAAAGGCGCGTATCATTAAGTGACCTGTCAGTTCCAGACTCACAGATCTACGTTTCGGTGTCGCTACAGTGTTGAGAGGTCGATATTTTTCGTTGAGTGCAAATAGGTACATTTCCTCTACGCGCTCACCGTCAAACGCACTGTGAGGGAAAAAAATGCACACCTTTTTGATCATGCCCGCAAAAATAACAACAACAAGAACAGGACGTGTCCGCACGTTGCATTTGTGAGACATTCTGTGTCTTTGCGCTCACACCCCGGCCACACGGTAAATGCCTCTCTCGGGGCAGAGGGCTGGTCGGCTCTGAAGTTTCTGCTCCTCCTGTTGTTTTCCTATGGGGACATGCCCGTCACGTGCGCCGGAGCCGCCAATCCGGGCCCGCGGATTCCCGAGCCCCCGGGGTCAGACGGGCTGGAGTCCGGGAGCGATGGCGGCGGCGCTCGCTGTGTTTTGAGCGGAGCGAGCACGGGTTTTCCGGGACTGCCTTCGCGGGGTGCAAGCGTATGGAGGTGAAGGGAGCGCTCGGGCTGGAAGCCGGAACTAGCGCGGGGGAGGCCGCTTTGGAAAGGGACCTCGGTGGTTCTCCCTTTAAAACAGCCGTCGCCGTAACTTCCGAAGTGCCAGGCGCACCGAGCCAGCGAGAGGGGCTGCGCAGACGGCGAGAGTGAGGGGCTCTGTCGGAGCTGAGCAGAAGTGGGAGACGTTCAGAAGAGAAACGTAAGCGGGACAAGCATAGGAGACTATGAAGACTAAGCCTCCGAGAGCCGTCCGATTAGAGCCGTGTGAATATCAGGGCACAAGCCTCTTTTGTCTGAAATCCTGTCTGCTGTCTACTCCCGGAGCACCTGAAAGTCCGCGGCTAATTCAGAAGCCCTCTCGGTGAATAAAAAAAAAAAAGAGGAAAAAAGACCAAACCGCACTCGTTAGCTGCTTTTGTGCACGGCCAGAAAGCCGAGCTTCCCCGCGCTGCGCGCAGTTGCGCTGTTGGCGGTGACACATTGTTTCAGCTGTTTCCGAATTTGTTCAAAGACAATGAGAGGAAAACAGTCGCCGCTCTAGAAGATCCGTGGATGTAGCGCAGCGTGTCCGAGGATCAGGGGGTGGAGTGTGGGGGGGGGGGCGAGGATAGCCATTGTCGGATTAAGATAGTTGATTTTATCGTCTCCTCGGCTCTCTCTGCATTGTAGTGCTTGTAGGTGGGTGCGTTAACTTGGCGAGCTGGGAGCCCTCAGTGTCGAGGTGCCTGCTGCAGTAGTAGTAGTCAGAAAACTCACGTGTAGCCTTAAAGGGGGGAAGGGGCGTCTAGCTTTTTTTAAAAAAATAAAATTCTTTTTTTTTTTGCATCCACACCTGAGCCCCTTATGGTGAGGCTGCGGTTACCGAGACATGGATCTTTCCCAGGCCGGTTTCCCAAGCGATGAGCAGCGGCCAGGCGGCGCCGCCGAGAGCGCCTGGGGTCTCTCCGCCCCGGTGTGCTCCGGGTCCCTGTGGACCGCGGTGTTTGATTACGAAGCCAGCGGGGAGGACGAGCTCAGCCTGCGGCGGGGCGACGTGGTGGAAGTGCTGTCCAAGGACGCCGCGATCTCGGGGGACGAAGGCTGGTGGACGGGGAAAATTCACCACCGGGTCGGCATCTTCCCGTCTAATTACGTGACCTACCAGCCCGCCATTTATCGCCGGTTACCCGGCGGCAGGTCCGTGGGTGACGGGGAGAGCAGCCCGGGCTCGCCGGAGCAGATCAGCTTCAGCGAGCTGGTCCTGGAGGAGATCATCGGCGTGGGCGGGTTCGGGAAGGTGTACCGGGGGACGTGGCGGGGCCAGGAGGTGGCGGTGAAGGCAGCCCGGCAGGACCCCGACGAAGACATCACGGCCACCGCCGAGAGCGTCAAGCAGGAGGCGAAGCTCTTCTCGATGCTCAGGCACCCCAATATCATTACACTGGAAGGGGTGTGTTTGCAGGAGCCCAACTTGTGCCTGGTCATGGAATACGCCAGGGGAGGGACCCTCAACCGGGCCCTGGCGGGTCGGAGGGTCCCCCCTCACATCCTGGTGAACTGGGCCGTGCAGATCGCGCGGGGCATGCACTACCTGCACGAGGAAGCGGTCGTCCCCATCATTCACCGAGACCTCAAGTCCAGCAACAGTAAGCAGCATTTTCTCGCTTTTGCGTTTAAGGAGGCCGGTGCTCTTCGCCTCCAGACAGTCTTTCAGACATGCCAGATGTCGTTTTGTGGTCCCATGTTATCCAGCCACCTTTCCGAAGGTGATTCCCAGCACGGTGTTCATGTTAACCCTGGACAGCTGCTGGCCTCGGGTTTGAGGAATGGGAGTGGTTTTCAGTTCAGAGGTCACTAACCGAGGACAGTGCAAGCACCCCACTCCTCCCCAGTGATTCAGATACCTCGAACCTGCAGTTGGTCACACTGGGGCCCTTTATTAACAATACAGGCGGACCCCAACACAGCAAGTCACAGACTTGGGGCGCCGCAAGCTTCCTTCTCTGGGAAGGTGGAAAAGTTGGGGCGTCAGTCGGTCCTGTGTGCCTTTGTCATGGGCCAACCCACATTGTCCCATGTAAAAGGATGTGCAGGTTCAGTTTAGTCAAGAAATGTGATACAAAAGGTGATAGGACAGTAGGCCAGAGTTTGCTTGGCCTTTTTAAGTGCACTAGTTACAGGCTGAGCTGCAGTGGAAAACCTCCTCTAGTACCACTTGCGCCATCAGTGCGCTACACATTGCAGACTTGCACTGATTTCCTTTTGTAAGCTGGTGTCAGGAGTGCTGGGGACTGCTTGTGTGTCCCAGCTTGGTGTGGAGTGAGAGCCCCAGTCTTTGCACAGCGTTTATTGAAGCTGAGATGAGATTCTCATGGCGACGTGGGAGTCCAGAGACGAGCTGGTGACAAGCTGAAAAGCCAGGGACCCTTTAGGAAAAAAAACATTGCCTGAAGTAGCTCTCCCGGCTAACTCGCAAACCGTTGAGAAATTGCAGACCGTACTGCTACACATATCGGGTGGTATGTGAGGTTTTGTCCAGCGAGACAGTCCAGTCACTCTGTGATGTGTCCATGCACACCTGTGGAGACGGGCGTGCTGATGTAGACCACACTGAAGAACAAGAAGAAGAAGCAGCAGCACGCTTGCTTGTGTGAACTACTTCAGAAAGACGATTGAGTCGAATTCCACTACCGTGTGCAAGAATCCTCTGGATATTGTGCTCAGTTTGCAGTAGAGCATTTCCAGTTGAAGTCTCGCTGTAAATCGTGGGTTCCTATTTAATTGAAAAGAATTTATGAAGAAGCTCTCCAGAAGAGTTTTGTGTGTTAGATAGCGACGGTATAGATTGAGTGCATTAAAGCTCAGTCATTTGCTCAGTGGTCATGGAAAGGAATCACAAAAGCACAATGTGATTCCAGTTTTTGTGTCTCCCCAGAGAAAGCCACTTGCCATCTCCCCTCAGGTGGGAAGGGACTGGTGAACACCTGTACCTTTCAGATAATCTGTTTCATTGCTTTACGTCCAGCGTGACATGAGCCCTGGACCTGTCCCATTCTCAAAGCGCAGGTTCCCGTCCTGTCGAAAGGAGACCGTGTTCTGGGCAGGGCTCAGAGCACCTGGGCCAGTGCTGTCAGCTTCAGGGTCTTGCAGTTTGGAGCAAAGGTGCAGGTAGTTATTACCTGTGCAGGTCTCAAGTCTCAGTGCTAAATTATCCCAAACTTTCTTTTGATGTGCAGTCAGTGATTGTCCATTTAGCCCAGACTGGGTATAGCAGCTGCAATTTTATCTTCTCAAAAAGCTATAAAAGTGGTGAGTGTGTGACAGATGAAAGAGTCTTTGAAGTTTAGATGCCTCTCTTGAGAAAGGTACCTGGCAATGATCTGTTTTTGTTGCTTAGATCAGGCAGCCTTGTTTTTCCCTGAAAGTTTTCTTTTAGGAGCTGTCCAGCATCTGTATAATGAAATCCCCCCAAAAAAATCTGAACAAGACTTGATTTTATTGCAATGCATTTGGGTATTTCTCTTACTTTTTGCTGGAAGTGTTTTTTCTGCTATGATTTGTGGGGAAAAAAAAAAACTTGATACTGTTGATACTATTCTTTAAAATGAAACACAGCTTGCAGTATCTTGTTTATATCTTAATTATACTTAATTAACCACGCAGTCACAGTGATTGATGCAGAATTGCAGTGCAGTCAGTTCTGAAATTAATGTTGTTGACTAGTATTAAATAGGCAGGTTCCTGCGTCTCTGCCTACAGCTCAGAGCTCTTGTGATCCCCTTCTGTTTAGTGTCTGGGATGGGAGCGGCCTGCTATTATGCAGTGGGTGGTGAACTCGAGGTTATTTCAGCACAATGTTCAAGATCGCAGATGCTTGCTTAGAGAAGTCAAAAGTTTTTTTTTT